AGTTCACGATATATATGACCACTATTTTGTAGCTGCTTCAACTTAAAATGAAGTTGTCATCACCATGATCTCAGCCCTTGAGTGTGCTATAGAGCTGAAAACATATCAAATTGGAACACAAGGTCATGATATGCATAAATTAAAATCCTTTCATTTTAAATCGCTCATAACTCCCAATATAACTAATCATTTATTATAAAATTATGATAGATATCTCTCTAAATTAGAGTATATCTGACCTATAAATTCACCTGAATTTCATCATCAATTAACTAATACTTCAACCTATAATCTATGACATAGTGGTTGCTAATCAATCAACTATATAGTTCTACAGAGTAAATCTTACTTCACCATTATGGCTTACCAAATTATCATAGATTATTATAAAATTTTGTAGGAACTTCGGAGATATATAAAATTAGGTACACATCAAATTAAATTAAAATAGAATCCTTAGGATCCTAAAGTACCCTCCCAACTCAACTAACATCATCTATATTCTATTATGTTAAAACTGGGTTCAAACTATTTAAATTTTTAAATCTCATATCTTAGTGCACAGAAGTAGTATTCACTCAATTTTAAATCTTATAAAACTCTAATTGATACCTTTATGATATATAAAAAAAAGATATAATCATACCCTTATATAGGTCAATTCAGTTCGAATAAAATCCCTTCATAGAAAATAAGATATTTTGAGTATTTCATATTAAAGAACCTATAACTCTATGCACTCATATTAGATTAAAGTAATACTAGAGACCTTAGAATGATAATTAACTTATACACAATATATCTAAAAATCAGAAGTTAATTCAAAGCCTAAGTTACTTGAAAGTGACTAAAAATTTTAGTCTATAATTTGCTAAACTAAAACTAAGCTATAGCTAAGGGAAGAGTTAAGTTTTCTTACCTTGTTCTTCTTAGAGTTTAGGTTCTTAGCCTTCGTAAAGACAAAGGAGAAGAGCTCAAGATTGGCTAAAGAAGAGAGAAAGGAGCATGACTTCTCATGTTGATTAGGAGGCGAAAGTCAAAATAGAGGTGAGGTGTTTTGTGCTGTTTTAGAGAAAGCCAAGAGGTCATAGGTTCAATCTCATTAGACCACCTCTCAAAAAAAAAATTCATAACATAATTTAGGGTTTTTGCCACTTAATTTGAATTTAATTTGTGTATTACCAAAGGTGACAAGTTTTGGTCTAAATTTATCATTTAATCTCACTTATAGATATCAATATTTTCAGTGTAACATTCTTTTTTTTATTTTCATCTCTACTTAGTTATCCATTCCTCCATCTATACATAACTTATTTATATTTTACATATATGATGTTTAAATCTTAAACTTTAAAAATATTTCAATCATATGAATCATAAAGAAATAGAAGTTTGATTTAAAGTAAATCAAAACACACATATGTAAGAATAATTTATTGTATATGTAATAGGCAATCATAATATATATATATATATATATATATATATATATCTCAACTTTCATACTATGTTTTATCATATTTATATGCATTTGCACTATCGTATGTCATATACACAAGTATATAAAACCTTTCATAATAGATGTATTATAACATAATAGATGTATAATAAAAAGATAAAATTTTGATTTCAAGTAAATCATAACACACCCATACAACTATAATTCATAGTGCATGCAATAAGAAATCAAAACATATTTATGAACTTAAACATTATATTTCATAATATATATGTCCACATTATAATATATATGCATAGTCCCACACTACATATTGTAACATATAGATGCACTCTTACATTATGTCGTAATATATATATCTACTTTCACACCGCACGTAAATGTATTTGTGACATGTTTTATGCACTCCCACACTATATATAATTACATATGCATGCATGTCATTTATTTTTGTTAGAATTCACATATCTTTCTTCATGTGCAATACATACATTAACATCATGCTTATAACTATTTCATAGCAACCATCTTATTATTCAAAATATGCTTTCACATATTACAATAAATTCAACTTATATATACTTGATTCAGCTTAAATGAAGTTTTTATTGAGGGGCCACTATCCTCAACCATCTAAGTGTGCTAACGAGCTAAAAATATATCAAATTGAAACACAAACTCATGATATGCCCAAATTAAAATTCATCTATTTTAAATCACTTATAACTCCCAATATAACCAATCATTTATTCTAAAATTTTGGTAGAATTCTCTTTGAATCATATTATCTCTAATATATAAATTCACTTAAATTCTATTATCAATTAACCAACACTTCAACCTATAATCCATGACATAGTTGTTGTTAATCAACCAACTATACAATACTACAAGGTAATCTTCACCACTATGGCTAACCAAATTATCATTGATTATCATAAAATTTTGTAAAAACTCATGAGACATCTAGAACTAGATATACACTATTTTTTTTTGCTTAAAGCATAATCCTTAGCAGGCTCAAGTACCCTCCCAACTCAACTATCATCACATATTCTATTATGTGGAAACTAGGTTAGGACTATTTAAAATTCTAAATCTCTTGGTACATAGAGGTGATATTTACTTAACTTTAAATTCTACATAATATGAGAGAATCTTTTTGAAATATATTAAAAGAGAAGGACCTAATTATTATCTCTAAGGGGTCAATTCAACCCGAATAGAACCCCTTCAAAAATATAGGATTTTGAGTACCTCAAATTAAAACAGTCATAATTCTATGCATCCATCTCATATCAAAGCAATACTAGAGACCTTAGAACCATAGAATAATAACAAATTTATACATAATATATAAAAAAAATTAGAGATTAATTCGAAGCCTAGGTTATTTAAAAGTAATTGATAAATTCAATCCATAATCCGCTAGACTAAAATTGAGGTATAGTTAAGACAAGGGCTAGGTTTTCTTATCTTATTCTTTCTTGGAACTTGAGTTTCTAGACTTCATGAAGAGAAGAGAAGGGTTGGGGAATATTATAAAAAAGAAGATAAAGGAATTATAGTTTCTGAAATGTTGAGTGAGCTGCTTAAAAGGTACACAAGTTCTTTTTTTTCATAATATAATATTAGGGTTTTTGTCACTTAATTTGAGTTTAATTTTGATTACAAAAGTGATAGGTTTCGATCTAAATTCATCCTTCGAACATATTTATATATCTCAATATATATGAATGAGTATTTTCATCTCAACTTAAATAACTTATTATATTTTGCATACATAATATTTAAATCTCTAACTCATTTGAATCTTGATAATCATTTAGGGCTTATAAAGGCAAAGTGTCTTCTAATCCTTTACTACAAAATATGCTTAATATAGGTATTTATGCTTTTATATAATTCAACTAGCATTTCGAAGAACTTTATGCATAACATATACTTTAATTTTAAAAACTAATAACATAAGCATATTATGTATTATTTTTCTCAAACATAAATATTATAAAATATATCTCTAAGTAATGATAACATATGTATGTTATTTATGTTTTCATTCGTATAGATGTGTTGTGTGTGAAAAACTTGGGCATTACATGATGTAACATTAAGATTTTTTCGAATCATAAAAACCTCTTTATATATATATATATATATATATATATATATATATATATATATATATATATATATATATATATATATATTGATCCTTTCTAAATCCAGTGGGTTTGCCTTTTTGTTTTTTTTCCTAATCACTTGATAAGTTATTAGTTCCATATTATGTCGAATTTATTAGAGGAAAATACCACAAATAAAATTTTTGAAAGTGACCCAACCATTCTTAAGATTACATTAACTTTTTAGAAGTCGAGGTGAGCCCAATTTGTTTGGCTTCCGACCTTCGAAGTCAATCAAACCGATCGCTAACTTTGAAAAAACAAAAAAAAAAAAATGAATTCGTTGAACTTAAGTTCAGATTCTGAGTTTGACCACATTCCTCCTTGTAAAAAGTATATTAAAATCCAAGCAAAGGGGTTTGAAGTAAGGTCGCATGGCATGTATTTTTGAAAGCTAAGAAAACTTCAAGAATCTGAAATCCAAGACGGACATGATTTGTAGGGTTTGCAGTTGATCTCAACAGAAGCGAAATTAATCGAGCGAACTGTTATCATCTTGAGAACGTCCCACAATCCCTCTCGACATTTGTATTTCTGTCAACCTGTACAGAAATCAAATATCTCGATTATATTAAAAAAAAAAGACAAGAGTCCTATACACGAGATTTTCAATTTATACAATCTTACCCTACCGATTAACCAAATATCTCAAGGATACACACCAAATCATGCATGAAACTATCAAGCTAACACAATCCAAATGGTGTTGATTTCATATGTTCACTCTTATCCAGGTCCTACACATGATTCCAGCATTAAATTCGTTTCCATGTACGAAAGATCCGGACATCCTACTATACTATATTTTGAGCATCGAAGAATTCACCATTCATTTAGTTCCTTGATCAACTTATGCGAACCACCTTCCATTCCATTGTTTCTCATCTAAGCCGTCATAAAAACAATACAATAAAACTCCAGGAGTTTATCCAGTAATGTAATATCAAGCAACAAAATGCTTCTCCTTGGAAAGATTATAAAGCAATTGGTTTGTTGTTCCAGTCAAAATCTCCAAATAATCAGCAATATTTCGAGCACTTTCTCGATGAGAACATTTGACACATTCTTAAAAGATGCAAGAAAATATGTGGTGGGAAGGATCGGCTAATGACATGGAGCAATATTTAATTTAAAAAATGATAAAAATGTAAACTTGGATTACCTCACTTAAACAGCTAATTTTTCAGAACACCATTTATCACAAACCAGTCAGCAAGGAAAAAGCACCGACTAAAACAAAAGAGCTTACATGAAATCCTTTACTAACTTTGCAACTATAACATGAATTGTGATGATCAATCAATCACAAATGTGTCAAAAGAAAGTCGAAAGCCAACCAATCAGAGGGAGAAAAATCATTAGACAAACATACTAATTTGATTTTCGTTCTCAAAAAAATACAATGCTGCTAAATCTGAGCCCCTACCATAATGGACCAAGTTATATTCAGCAAATAAAAGATTACCTAACACACCCATACACGAGCCCTTGCGCAAATAGACGGCACTAGTTAACTACATACCGAACAAGGACATGAGGAAACAAAGTCTAGAACCTAACTAAACTTGGGCTTACATGTCTGCTGTTTTCTGCACATGTTGTTTTCCAACGGTACTGAAGAATTGGCAAATAATCCAAAACATTTCTTGTTTCATGCTCTAGCCCTCTTATTGCTACAACTCGGGCACTTGTACTGCTTGATGTGCTCAGCTCGGGCAGGGGTGATCTTGACACACTTCCCATGAAACCATCTCTCACATACATCACAGCATATCCAGAACTCGTCATTAGCGTAATTGTCTCCACAGGCACCACATAAAGTGTTCTCATGCTCCTGTTCATCTTCCTCTTCATCTGCACCACTATCTTCATCTTCTTTTGGAGTTGGCATCCTTAAAGCCTTGGTTTGGGACTCTGCCGGTCTTGACTGTTGAAGGCATACATGCAATAGATATTGCAAATAAACAGATAAATTAAAGGGAAAAAATGTAATGTAAAAAGAATTTACCATCTTTGAGCTTGACTTGTTCTTGCTGCTGCTGTTAGAGGTCTTTTCCTTGAACTGTCTCTTTGTGGTACCAGTTACAACTTCATATATGGTAGGGAGATTGTTAATCATATTGAAAAGCCGCCTCCTGAAATAATTACAAAAACAGAGAGAACATGATATCAGAAATTAGCAATTTCTTAACAAGTGGATCTACAAAGAATGCTGGAAATGAGAAAACAAAACCGAGAAATATCAGATATATCCAATAGTATAACACCATAATTCACACATCAGCAATTCCAATGAGAACAGAACAGCAAAAGGGTTGAAGTCCCTATTAGAAGCATCAGAATTCAGTGTAATTATAGTGAAAACCATATGTATGAAACTCATATGTATGAAAACCACTCTTATAGTGACTGGAAAGCTAGATGTACGAAATTCTGATAATCATACATATACATTATGAAATTACAAATCCTAATAGCCAATTTTTAAAATACTATTCGAACTGGTATGTATTAACAGGTATTCACTGGTTCAGCCAAACATCAGTGTCAAAACATGACTTGGTATCGGTCTAGGAACAATTTAATTTTATTTCTATTATTTCATCCAATGATATCGGATGGTACAAATCAGTATACCATCCGATTCACCAGTAGTATACCTGTCCCAAAAGATTACCAAGTGACTCTTGTATTTAAAATATTGCTAATAGCAACTGTTAATTTTAGTGTCATACAGCAAATAAGTCCAAGATCCTACATATCAATTATAATTGCTCATCAATGTATATTTTGCAAAATTAAGTATATCAGATGTTATTACTTGCAGTGCAAGTTGATAGGTAAGGATAGTCTATCTATTTAAAATTTAGAGAATAATTAGTTGTAAAGCCTGGCTTCACTGCAAAAGAAAAATGAGAAGAAATAGAAGAGTCACTTTAATCACATCTGTTGGCAACAGCCATTTGATAAAACTTAATAGTGTTTATTCACCATGCCTTGGAAGCTCTAAACTTAACATAAACAAAACCATTGACATATGAGGATCTTTTTCTTAATAGTGTTTATTCACCATGAACCGTATTTACTGAACTGAAGATGAGTTTTAAAAAGAAACTATTGGTAGTAAATTATTAGCACCTCAAGGGTCTTCATACCAAAATATTGTGCATTTATATATTCTCCCATTGAAACCTTGAATTAAACCATCACCAGTAAGGTTTGCAATACCTGATACAGTATGATACAACGGTATTTATGGATCATGGTGAACCGGGTGAACAATATAGGGCCCCTTATCACCCAATACACCTAGTATATGTTTTGTACTAAACTGTTCCCTTTTTCTTTTTTTTCCTTTTTCAGTATTTTTCATGTTTTTTTCAGAAACTCGATATGTCCTCTTATATAACAGTACAGACTGGTACGTAATCGGTCCAAGCCCTGACCATGACAATATTGGTACATGAAAATATGCACCTTGCTGATCAATTAGTTAAATATGTGTATATATATGTGTATACATAAATATATATACATATATATACATATATATACATATATATATATATATACATATATATATATATATATAATCAAGTCTCCTCATGCATGTGGTCCTGCCCTAATCGTGACAGCCTTGACGAACATGTCATCCTCCGTCACCTATCGCCTCCACCAATCAGGTACACGCCTCATCTCTCTTTCGTTCTCTGCCTCCTTCCTCATCTACCTCCAATACAATCTCTCCTTCCTCCTCTTCCTCCACTATGATCTCTCCTTCCTATTCCTCTTCCTCCTGCCTTCTTTTACTCCACTGTCACGAACTTAGTTGGTTTTGCCTAAGTCATGCGGCACCCTTGCGTGTCCGTCCGCAAAGGTCAGCCACCCCGAAACCTCTCATGGTCCCTTAGGACCTACAAAAAGAGAAAATGGGTTAAAGAAAGCGCCTCACTCGGGATCCACAAGCAATCATTTCAGAAAACACTTCATAGCCAATGCAAATTACAAACAGACTTTACAAGCTCTAAACGATTACACAACAAAGGGTCAAAATGGTCCACTACAGACCGAATATCTCTCACAAGTGTCCACATGACACAACCTTTATTTACAAGCCTAAAAAGGCCACCAAACCCAACTAAAATGAGGTTGTTAAGCCTTCGACCGTCCCTCTACATACTGTGCAAAGCATGAATAAACCAAAAGACACGAACATACATAAGCATTACATCAAACATCCTATTTAGAATTTTTTTCGTGACATTTTCCCCCACTTATTCCTTCGACGTCCTCGTCGAAGCCTTTGCCGACACTGCAACTCATCGCCTTTACTGAGTCTTCAATCTTCTGCTCCAGCTGCAATGCGCCTCTTGACTCCTAGCTGCTCTCTGCTGCTGTTGTTGAGTAGTCGAACTTTTGATCCGCCATGTTGCTTCAACTCGCCAATAACTCTGACTCTAGTATGGGGTTGGCTGAGTTGTGTTGATCCCTGTTGGTTCCTGCAGATCCTTCAGATGAAGGAAAAGAGCATCCTTACTATGCGCTAGTCTCCCAAATGTCTCATGCTACTTGAATTGGGTAGATGCTTGTTGAAGCTTTAACGAGCATCGCCTTGCAAACTTTTGAAGTTTTGGGTCCTTCCTCCACCAAATTTGCCCATCAACTCTTCTTTCACTTAGTTGACACTTCCAAGTAGATTCGCATCACTTCCGCTTTCGATTGGCGGAAGTGATTGCCCATCAACGCTTCCTTGTACCAGTTATCCTTTCCTCCACCGCTTCCAT